CACTTCTGTCATTTGGTTTACGCTCATTTATAGAACTGACATCCATACATTATCATGGGCCTGGGAGAGACGCGATACCTTCAGGTTTTTGCAGCTCTTCATCAAGTACTTTACATCATAGATAGATGGGAAAAAAAGGTTCAAGATATGGAAAAATTCGTGTTCCTCTTCTGGTAACCTGGAATCTGTCAGCAGCTTCACCATGTAGCCAAAGTCATAACCACTGGAAAAAACACACAGAAGCCAGATAAATAGGCACCAGCTGTACCCAGTGGCCTTAGCACATTTTTCACAACAAGAACTTTATATGCCAGAGCTTTCAGGCTTCTGTTTTCAGCTGTTTATAAAACTCTTCTAGATCAGAGTCAGGATTCCTCCTGACCATCTATCTCCATGTAGGACCTGTGCCTACTGCACGCTGTGGGCTTCCACTAATCTTCTCAATACTGAGAATTTCTCAAGTTAGGAGGAACACAGGAAACCCAGGGGTATCTATTGCCACCTCCTCCTACTCCCTCCACTCCTTTCACTTGCAATGCTATCAAAGATTTAAGAGGCTTTTATAATCTGTTTGAAATGCTACAGGACACATATCTCCCCTACACAGATTTCTTCCCGTATACATAAACATAAGACAAAAAATGAAAAGAAAAATGATGTTGCAAGTAAGAAACAACAACAACAAAACACCAAACACTTTACAATAAACAGAAGTGCAGAATCCCGTGTCAGTCTCCATGGACAAACGCCGCAGTATTTCAATCCCCAGGAGCCCTCTCATTCCGCAGGCAGCGTGACCCCCTCGCGTGTACCTGTGAAACGACAGCCACTTCACACTGTCACTGAGCACGACGCCGGAGGTCATGAGCAACTCGGCAAAGTGCAGCGTGTCGATCCCCTCCTCCTCGTGCTTCTGGAACTGCAGCCCAGAGCTGGCAAGCAGGTCTATGGAATCCTGAGAGTACATATCCTCCCTGGACATGGGAGAAAGGCAGCTCTGTACTCGACGTACTCACAGGGCAAGACCAGTCAGAAAAGCGCCTGCCCCAGATGCTGCATTTCAAACAGAAAGGCCATCTCTGCGTCCACATTTGTGTCAAAAAAACCTGACGTGAATTTTCTAAATACTGCTACTGCAACTTTACCCATTCTTTTTTTAGCAATCTGTTCCACAATTGCAACCAATTAATAATCCTATTATTAGTGCAAATTCCACAGAATCCACCCCCATAGAGCTGAAGGAGGCTTTGTACAATATTGCTAGCAGATATCCCACACAACAGCACAGAGAAAAGGGTAGGTGTCCTGAACAGGAAGAGGTGCAATTCTGTAACAGAATTGCAGCATTGCTATCCACATTTTTCTTTTTCACATCACAGCCTTATCTTCATCTCCAATTCCTTCTTTGGGAGTGGAAAAACACTGCATATTACTCTGCCTTTCAAACATGACTAAGGAAGTAAGTTTGGAATGAGTGATGATCATATGCTTGATGGAGACCTGGGGAACCTGATTTCTGTACTAGATGGCTTTGCTTGGCATAGCGTTAAAAACATTTCATTCTCATTTCTGTATTTCTAATGGGCTGACAAAGTTGAAGAACTAAATATTGCAACTTTTGGTGTCAATAAATCCATAAACAAAACATATTAGATAAAATTACTGTAATGTTTTCTAATAACATTTTCATAACATACTGATTTCCAAAGAATCTGTGTTTTTGCCAGAGAAGCACTATATATTTCCAGGTAGCTCCAGTGGTGTATATATATGCTGAGCTTGTTTTTACAGCTACATAGGAAGGAATTCTAAAGTTTCCTTCAACTCTATAAGAAAACCACACTGTAGAGGAGGTAATAACTATTGCCAATTGATTCCTTTAAGTAAACTTATGATTTYGCAAGCTTTTTATTTAGACCCCAGCTTGTATTTTGGCCTGGGTCTGTAAGAGGTGTTATCTTCACTGCTAAAGAGAGCACATSCTCTGCTTTTTAGCAAACAGGGATAAATTAAAACAAAACAAAACAACAACAAAACCAAAAACAACCAGGGTCATCCTCGAGCTCTGAGAACTCACGTAAGGTTGAATTTGAAGTTAAACTGCCAGGTGTTGATTCCAGAAGGATACTCTCCCTTCTCATTTGTGAAAGTTAGGCCAAGCTGGATAATTTTCAGCAGGTCAACATTACATCGAAGGAGCTGGTACTGATAGTCTATGGAACTGCGGAATTCACCGATTGGCCTTACAACAACTCCAGGAAATTCTGTGTCCTGGTAAAGATGAGAAGGAAAAGAAATCTTATGGCATCACATGCTTTAATAGAAGTTATATATTCAGTTCCACACTCTCCAGTTTTAACACCAATTTTGGTACAATTTTCTCTGGAATTACTTGCATAACAGAATGCAAAAAGAAAAAAAAAATCAGACTGCTACAGGATGGACACTTAATAAATAAATAATTGGTTAGTTCTTGTATTCATTAATCTACTCTAGGTATCCGCTTTCAATGTTGCATATTTTCAGAAATTATAAAGCTTTAAAATCACCCAATAAGCACTCCCGTATAATCTAAACTATCCTCTCCTGAGGATTTTATTCTCTCATTTTCCCTAACTCTACCAAAATACTCATTTTTTCTTTATATACTGTTCTTCTATGTCCTTCTATGAAAGATCAAAATCTTTCCTAAGAAATCCAATATTCTGCATTGGAAAACACTTCTTCCCATTTCTTCTTTTTTAGTGATATGATATCAGTCTGGTCACCAGCATAAATCTATCTAAACACACTCTCATAAATATCAAATAGAGCAAAGAAACAAAAAGGCTTGTTTCTGAGTAACCGATGAGAACAAAACTAAATCACACTTACAGAATTCTCAGTGTTTCATTTTGGGAATATTACAGGTATTCTTATGCCACACCTCTATTAAGGACTTTTGTGTGCCTTGAAGTTGACAGTCCTAAGCAAAGTCGGCAAAGTACAATAACTAGAAACAGTTACCTAATTAACTGGCTGCTGCCAAGTAGATAGATATTTTTAAAGGCAGGAAAGAAACTGCTCCTCCATCTCTGCCCTCACCCTGAAACTAGAACTCTCATCAAGATTCTTAGCTTTCTCCTAGAGAACTCTGGAAAAGGCAGAAAATCCATCCCATTGGAATCAGCATCTGACCACTGATGGCTGAAAAGGAGGCACTCGTGGAGGTAACGAGCTGTCACCTGCCAGCCTTTCCTTTTGTCCTTCAGCACCATGACAGCTCCATGGCCAAAACGAGACAGTCACTCAAGGGGCAAACACACTTGTGAAACCTAGTGGATTCAAACACAGTTGTGCATCTGATCTGCTTGAGACTTTGTTAGCGTATGCATGAGAAACAGTTAAATATCATATGATTTCAGATGATGGAGGTGGTTTCTCACTTCCCCATGTCTCATTCAATCTGGATTGAATACTATATTGACTAAAAATCCATAAACTACTTGCTACTGTATGGTTTKCTGAGTTCTCACAACTTCACTTTCCAATGCTGAGTTTGCACAGGGAAAAGCCTCCTAAAAACAAATAAATAYGTATAAAAATAAATAAATGTCCCGCTACTGTAACAATCAAATCAAGCACCACACACTTACCATTGCAATGTAGCTGTAACTTAGCACAATCTCTCGAATTTTCCTCATCTCTTCTTCCAGATTGTTTGCCCATACTTCACAGATAACCTGGCTGTTCTCTGCAAGGGCCGCTGGCATCTTGCAGGGCGCCGAGGAAACGCAGCTGGTGTTGAATTCAGCCGAGAGCGCAGGCCTGCAAGCTGCGTGATCCAACCAGGGCGCTGCATCGGAGAGAARCAAACAGCACTTCATTCACAGAAGGACCCGTACGCCAGCACCACGGCACAAGCAGCATAAATCATACGTCTATTCTCAGGCTCCAGCCGGGCGGCTGAAGTTCTGCAGGTGTTTCACTGCTTTTACCACTTCCTTTAGACATGCTGGAGCAGAAAATAAGCACTAGAGCACCTGTTTACAGGGCACAGGGGCTGTTACGGGGGCAACAGCCCCGCTCCCTCTTTCCTCCTCCTAGTACGAACTCTGAAACGTTGCGGGTCAGCACAACCGGGGGGCTCGGGGCTCAGGCCGCCCCACGAGCGGGGGGCTCGGGGCTCAGGCCGCCCCACGAGCGGCGCTTACGGAGGCTCCCCCCGGAACGGGCACAGGGAGGGTCTCCCGGGCGACGCCAGCGCCACGCGGCTCCCGGGATCACTCGCGCCCGTCGCTCCGCACGGCGGCTCAGCCGGAGCTGCGAGGGGGCCGGGCGGGTTTCCCCGCTCGCTCGCTCGCCCGCACGCGGGGCCCGGGCCCCGGGGCCGGTGGCGGCGCGGCGGAGCCCCCGCGCAGCCCCCGCACCTGAGGCGGCTCCGGGCTCCGCTCCGGTCCGGTCCGGTCCGCTCCGCTCCGCTCCGCTCCGCTCTAGCCGCGCCGCCCGCTCCGCTCGTCTCCTCCGGCGCGGCCCATCGCCCCCCCCGCGCCGCTACCTGCCCGGAAGCTCCGCGCAGGCGCGATGCGGCCCCCGGGACGGGCGGGACTTCCGGGACGACACTCGCTCTCGCGAGAGCTAAGGAAAGAACGGGCTGGGCGCGCGGCGTCACGGCGGGGGAGCGTGTTGTGCGCGCTCCCGCGAGGGGAGGGGGGACGAGAGTGCCACGTGGGGCTCCGCCTGGCGTGCGCCTGCGCGGAACCGCTACCCTCGCAGCGTCTCCCTCCCCCCCGGGACACTAATGGTCTCGCCCGAGTTCCCCGCCCCGTGCGCTGCGGGCGAGCCCAAAGCCCGGGTGCGGCGGGGGGGGTGTCAGGTGATCGCTCCATGGGGAGCCGTTACCTCAGGAGCCGCCGAGGGGACGGGCGGCGGCGCCCCGAGCCCGCCGCGGSCCGCGGCCTGGAGCGGGGCCGCGGCACGGGGGCTCGCCCGGCCCGCGCCGCGCTCCCCTGTCCCGGCGAGGCCATTTAGTTACGTTCCGTTAGCGGCCGCTCGCGCCAGGTAACGCGGCCCCGTCTGCGCTGCGGCCGCGTCGCGCTGCCGGGGAGGCCGCCGGCACCAGGGCAGGTGGCTCGGAAGCTGCTCCGCTTAGAGCGAAGCTGAGGTGGCGTCACCTCTTCCATCTCCATCCTGTGGCTTCTGCTTCCTCTGGAACCGCAGCCACCTGCCCACTGCTTCCACACGAGTACCGAGGGGAAGCACGTCGATATCTCTCCTCTCAGATAGAGCTCAGTATCCCAGCCTTAATCATCATAGCTCAGCAGAAACRTAAGAAGGTTTTATTTCAGCACTGCTGCTCTCTATCAGGTAACCTTGATGGCGTCAGCATCTACGGACACKGAGCAGTATTTATCAAGCTGCATTTTAATTCAGAGTTTATCTTCTCAGTTGATAGTTACCRTTTTGTCTCCTCACCTTAGACCTGTAGTCTTTAGGTCGTGTAATTTATGTGTTATGCAACATGCTAGACTGGCAGAAATCAGGCACCTTTCTTCTGTGGTGTCTTGAGTTTGAGATCTTGGGCAAGAAAACACGTGTTGTTATCAGGTAAATACATCAGGATAGATTGCAGCACTCTGTACGTGTAGGATTAGTTTCTTCTTTTTTCACCTGAAGAGTTCAGAGTACGATATCTGCTTTTCTTGCTCATAATTGCAGGTCTGGAAGATACATTGAATCCAGGCAAAAAGAAGCTTCTTCTAATGTTTTTTGCAAACCATGAAACATTATGAACAGATCATGAACAACAAACAAGTTATTTTATGAAGTGTCTGATCAAAAATCCATTCCACTGAGAGGAAATCAGACTCTGCATTCCTCAAAGCTGAGCCTCAGCAAAGGTGGCAATGACACTAGAGGATTTGATGATGAAGACACCAGGGCAGGGCACATGCTAACCAACAAACAAGCAGCTTTTAGATAACCACCAACCTGGGCTAGATCCAGACTTGCTGCACAGAAGGTAAATGACATTTATATCTTACATGACTGGATATACTAGTTGTCTGTTCCTGTTAATGTAGATCTTTTAGCCAKGACCTGTGTCTGTTTTGAACACATCTACCAAAATTCACTGGCTTTTCACCTACTTCTGGGTATTGGGTAAACAGCCCTCCCACTACAAGAGTCTGAGAGGCAAATTCCAAATAAAGATCAGCTCAGGACAATGTTCACATGGCACCCCTCTTGAAATGCCGTTTTCTACTCTCCCTCTTCTCTCTAGAGGTCCCYTCCAACCTCAACCTTTCTGTGATTTTGTGCATGTGCAAAGAGGTTGCAGGAATAACATTCCTTTCTGTTGAGTCTGCTACGTGATAAATAACAATTAGTAGCAACCTCTAAGAATTAGAACCTCTTTCCCCACTAGGAAATAGAATTAGTCAAGAGAAAGTGTCAATGAAAACAGCACATGTTTACAGCACTAAGAGGCCAACCAGTGTGACGTTGGGGGATATTTTCCTTCCAAAAAAAAAGTTAATTTATCGCAGCATAGATACAGTGCTAGGAAAAAGAAACTGTGCAGAGACATGGAGCTTGCAGATCTCTGCAGTTCTGACCACTGCTGACCTGTTACTTACAGACTAGCAGTAAATATTGCACCAGACAAGGTGGAGAGAAGAGATATTCCTTGTTTTTTCCCRTGCGGAAATATAAATCTGGGAAGTTATGGTGGGTAACACCCTCACTACTCAGCCCTTAGTTCATACTAGGGCACTGTATATTAGGTGAATGACATATATTGGGGCCACATCTGCATAATAAAGACAAATGCTGCTGCAAATTACATCTTGCAACCTGCAATACCATAATTACAGACGTTATAGTCTGTAAACATCATATTTAAATACAACTGAGCACATTCTTACCTATTTGCATCTTCTGCTATAGATAGTGTCTGTATGTGTAACTCGTTTGGGACACAATGTAACAGAAGAGTTAGTGCAATTTACAGAGTCTGTGCGACACTCGAAATGAAAACTGGGCTGCTGGTTTTTGTTTTGTTATTGTGACAGATGCTTCAATAATCCTTCCTGCTTTCAACAAATACACTTTTGACTTAATTGCACTGACACTAGCTATTTTGTGCTCAAAATACAAGTTAGTCGATTATAAAAAAGTACTCATTTTTAAAGTTTAGACGACTTATTTTTTTTTCTTATTATTGACAGATATAACTATTACCTGTTGATGAAAAACTCTCACCTGCCGGGGGCTTTAACTGAGTGACAGCATGTACATATGCAGAGGGAACACTGCCAGTATTAACAGCGACAGGGCCCTGGCTTCACATGACTTGTCTGGGAGGGGACAGCAGCTCTTGCTTGGAAACACCCCTGTCTCATTTGCCTAAGCCTGCATAAAGTTTCCACAGAGGTAGTGAAAGGTGAGAAGTTGAGCTCTGGGCTCTGAATAAACAGCAAGGAGCTCTCCTAGGCTGCAACCTGCGAGAGGTGAGCAAAGAATGGGCAGACAGAGTTAGGGGCATAGTAAATTGAAAATGTGAGAAAAACTTTTAAGGAAGTCATTTAAAGGCRACGGCCTGTGTCTATCTAAAATATGACTGTGAGCTTTTCTAGCAACGCTGGCTGCTTTCAGATCCATGTAGCGCTTGGCAGGGTAGAAGACCACCGGACACAAAGCAGAATCCTGTGTCTGTCCATAGAACATGACTAATATGCAACTTCTGGGGTGACCAGGTAGGCCATCCTTAAGCTTACATTTATATGAGTTCTGTATTTTCACAAATTGTAGCCTTTTTTATCCTTGGACAAGGCTCTTTTCTGTTGCCTGTGCACTATAAGGGTTGAAGCAAGTTCTGAAGTCTTGAGAAGACTTAAGTAGGGGGGAAAAAGGCATCTCAAGCAAGAGCGAGGCAGGCAGAGCAGCGCCGCAGATGTAGCCTGTTGTTCAGCTTCTGCACCTGCCAGCAACTGCTCGGTTGGTGTCAGAACCAGTCACACATCCTGGGTAAGTACAGCCAGAGCTTGGGACAGTCTTGGCAAGAGGAAATAGAAGGGGACAATAGATGTAGGACAGTAAAAGTAGTGTAAACTTTAAAACAGATAAAAAAATTGAGATCAGTTCTTAATGCTTTCTAAAGACTTTCAGATTATGTCAAGCATCTTAAACCTGACATAGACAGACTAACTTTTTCTGATAAATAAGTTCTAGGAAAACAGCTCTCTAAATGAGCAGTTGTTAGGCAAATTAAGAAGTGCTTGAGAAGAAAAATTGTATTTTGTATTACAATTCTTCACATAGTAGTCTATGCTTCTATTCRCAAAATAGTTATTTTTTACATTATGATTGAGAATTTTGTTTGAATCAAATTTTATGGCAGCTAGTTTGAAACAGCCTAAAAAGAACTCTTTTAAATACCATCAGTTCTGTGTAATATTTTGAAATGTCTGTAGCTAACTGAGGTCTTCAGTGATGGATTCTGCCTGAAGTACTAGCAGGAGTTCAGGTTTTTGGTTTCAGCTAGTGTATTTGGTTTATTCCGAGTCAGATGAGACAACAATATCCAGTATTGGGGAGGGGAGAGAAAAAAAAAATGCCTAGAGGATGTAATGGGGCAAAGCCTAAAAAATGAAATTCAATGTCAACCGAAATTCAAAAAATCCATTTCAACATATTTCAACTATTAGCAGTGTTTTCTTAGAGACAGTAGGCACACCTGCACCAAGAAGACCTGTGTGACAAGATGTGAATATACTGCATGTTACATAATATAAAATACATCATCATGATCAGGATGTCTTTTATCCTGTGGCAAGTTATTTACACCGTTCAGACTAGCAGGTTATTTTTSCTTGTTACTCATAGGTATTCTTCATCTGTTATTTTAGAATCCAATTATATATTTTTTTTCAATAAGGTTGTGGCTGACCAGCTTGATACATTGGAAACAAAAACATACCGATAATCTTGTAAACAAGCTGTAGCAGCTCACAAAGTCCTAACTATGAGGAACTCTAAATGCTGGAATGCAAAAGAAGCCTGGAAATGATGTATCTTCCTTAGCACATACCTATTTCAAGGAGAGCACTACTTTTTTTAACGTTCAATTGAAGTTCCTAGTTGGGTGAATTTGCCTCATCCCTTTCAGTCGATACGGAAACAGAAGCCCAAGTAGGAAGATTTTTATGTTATGCCCTTTGACTTGCTTACTAACATATTGCAGAGAAATAAAGCTGTAAACGTTGGCAAATTAACAGCATTGCATTTCTAAAAATGTACCCAGAGCACTTGAAGTCACAGCTAAGGTGTCTGCTCCTGTCTAATATGCGACCTTTTTTTGGCAGTATATTCCTCCTTCTGAGACGCTGCAAAAGCAGTATTCCCAGGAGGGAATACTAAAGGTAATACAAGATCATTTTTAAAGAATTTCATTCATTRTTAACCATAACTGTCTTGAAGCAAAGATTATCTTCCTTATCATATTCTCAAACTCTGATACACAATTCTTTGAGCATGTGAATGAAGTGAGCATGTGGTGCTCGACTGCGTTGATTCTTCTTGGCACCAATTCACGTAGTTACAGCAGGATTTTCCCCCTTTGGTGTTTGTTTAAGAGCATGTCTCCATTATGGAGGGTTACATGTCCCATATGATCATTTGCTTGKCATGAAAGATTAAGGGAAGAAGCTGTGTTACAACCTACCGGTGCAACAGTCAGAAACTTTGATTTTAGGTGTTCTCCCATTCTCATACTCTCACGTCCTGTTTGCCTTTTGAGACCATACTACTCTTCGGGAAACGCAGGGCCAAACAAAGGTGGGAGCAGAACAAGACAGAGCAAAGATTTTACAGTTTTGCAACCAAACTGGGGTTGTGGGATTTACTGTTGTCAGCAGGCTATTTTTCCTCTCCAGCTGTACAGAGTTCACTTACTTAAATCACCTTTATTTCAGATGAGAAGAGACTCTGAATATTCCACCGTGGCTGAACAGCAGAAGCAGGTAAAGACACAAAGGTCAGCTGTTAAAGTGTTATGCAGGTGCTTTGGAAGAGCAAATGCATTGAGTCAGCTTCTAAGAAAAGTGGCAAACATTTCTGTGTTTGCGGCACAGCACTACGTGGTGAAGAGCCTGTTGGCATGGCACGAAACCAGAGCACTGCAGAAGCTGGGCCATCTTACTAGGCCCAGTCCTTGAAGTGATCACACTAAACCCTGTTTCCTAGTTGGTTTGCCCTAGTCGTCTCTTTAGTTGCAGGTAACAATGCTATTCTGGACTTGAAAAACTTGCCAGCTCATGCAAGTCCTCTAAGGACAAGATCTCAGGTGACTTGTGGATCAGAATCTGTGAACTACTGTGCTGGAGCTGCCAGCATAAAGAGAAACAGAGGGTTAGCAGGTGAACTGGACTTGATGAATAAGATTTTTTTTTTTAATGGAAAATCTACTTCTTATATAATTATATTGACTGGGGTTCATCCACATAATCAATTCCTCACATGCAATACAATTTATAGCCAAAGGGCTTTTCAAATAGTTTAAGTGACAAGCTTTAGCAACTGCCCTGTCTCAAAACAAGATCTGTAATCTCAGATGTGCATAAGGAATTGTGAGTTTTTGAAAGTCAGATCTTCATCTGGAAGATGCTAAAGTGTCTGATRTACCGCTTCATTTAACTAAAAATTCTGACATTCTAAGACATCASTGCTTTTCTTTGATATGGTCATTCTCCATAAAAAGAAAGAAAAAGAAAACCGATATATAGGACACTATTTTCTTAAGCTGCTGTAAGCCTCACGTAGCTTTTGTAACTTTTTTTTTCCCCCCTAAAACATACATAGATAGTAGAASAGAGTCTAAAGATTAAAGAATTCTTACCTTATATCAGCATTTATGAGCTGTCACGTGGATGGAACAGGAAGCACAAAAATGCTAAGGGAGCAAATCTCCAGCCCCAAATCCAGCGTGCACTGTCTGAAGCTGGGAGAGTCTTGCACCAGCCTTGCATTTCTAGTCCAGTACACTCAGTGCCAGAGGTGGCACATGATTATATTTAATTTTAATTTAAGCCTATAGGGTTCACAAACCTAAGGCTGTAGGACAAGAGTCCTTTAAATGCTTCCTCCGCAGTTGCTAATTTGATTAAAAACCTAGATGACAGTAACAAATGTTTGTTTGGACAAGGAAACTTTCTGTGCTTATCAGCAAAGTTTTATCCCAGGACAGATAAGTATTACATAAAGGTTCTGGGCAGTGATGGTAAATATCCTGTAACTGCTGAACAGAATTTTAAAGAGCTCTTAATGCTGAAAGCTGTATAGAGAGGGCATCCCTGTATTGCATTACTGTAAACACACCTGCACTCAACATTTATTAGTGAGTTGTCACTCTTGTTTGTCTTCTTTGACAGGAGACAAACAGGAGAGCAACTATGAATCATGCTATTTATACTCTAGTCTGTTTTTGCAGCACAGCAACACAGTTAAACAGGAAGGACGGAATTGCAAACAAGATATTAGCTGGCTATTATACTATGGTATTTTAGAAATGCATTTTTTTTTCTTTTATCTTGYACCCTCTAGATGAATATTGTGGGTAATCAATGAAGAAAACCCAACCTAAGAATTCTGGGCTCTGGAACTAATTCCAGTTTGGGCTGCTGTAAAAGACAGATAGTTAATTACCTATTTGCCATGTCTTTGCTGAACAGCTTGATTTTAAGTTCTGGAATACTTAAAATATACTGAATATATTTAAAATATATTTTATATATAAATATACAGCCTTTTGAATACTTGTTTTACTTGACTCAAGAGGTCCCATGAATCATTTTCTGGCTCTTGTCCTTGCTCTGCATAGTTAAAATCTGTACTATAACAAAGGAGTCATTGCAAACGTCACAGGTGCCTTTTGCTCCTGTGCAGGACTATTTGGTAGGTAACATTTCTATAATTGAATCCTGRAATGCAGAGTACCTCCTTTTGAAAAAGTTCAGTATTTTAGCTCCTCATGAGCATTAGCTGCTCTGTACAGATGGCACGTGGCACCTATTAGCTTAGTACTGGAATTGTATTGTGTCTGTGATGGGCTAAAATAGCAAAGTAAATGATGTAGGGAAGAAGTAATTTCTCATATTAGACCTTTGTTATTGTTGGGAACAAAAGGCAAACTTATGTGTACATGAGTGACTTGAGAATCAATCTACAAAGCCAAAAATGATGCTGAGAGAAACAGTTGGGAATTAATTGGAGCTGTTAATGAGGTCATCCACGCACAAGAGTTCTTTGCTGCTGCAAGGGGAGAGTATATTACACAGTGGGAGGGAGAATATACCAGCAAAGCAAGAGAGTTCCTTACCCCCAGGCCCTAGATAATCCTATAGATAATGAGAAATACAACCAATGAAATCAGGGAGGGAAAACGTKAGTGCTCCCTTTTCTCTCTTGTTATTGCAGAGAAGTTTGGTGTTGGTAACGCTTCAGCTCTGTGTAGGCATGGGAGATGGATGTGCATGTGCACTCCACTCCCAACATCCAGTGTCTACAGCAGCTTGGTAACTCTGTTCTTTAGACTGTGAAACAAAGGTCATGCTACAAAGGCCAACTTTACCTCCTCTTTTTCAAATTAAAAACACAGCAGCACCTGCTTACTGTTGTTGCTTGCTCACAGGAGGAAAAGATCTGGGATGCCGTGAGGATCTCCACCTATGTCCTGGTTGTGGGGCTGCTCACATTCACTGCTTTAATGAACTCTGTTTCTTGGTAAGATTATTCATACAAAAGACCTGAGGAGAAACATTTTTGGACRGAGATGGGAGAAGTGGTTGATTAAAGGATGGGTGACTAAGAAGACTTATTSCCACAGGTACGTACAGGAGATATGGGAGACTTCAGGCCATTTCTGGCAAGCAAAATGGCTAAAGCTCTACAACTTTTTTGAGGGAAAGGAGTGGGCAATCTTCKTATTCGGTGAGTTCTCAGGTTCACAGCCCTCCTCTGTATGAAGGATGCCATTCAGCTATTACCTCTAGAAGAGGGACAATGAACATGCCTTCCCCTACTGAAAAAAAATGCATGTGGGGCCTCAAAGCCATCCACAACTGACACAGTACCACAGTGCTTCCTTTGGACCAATCCTTATTAGATACCTTATACAGATGAAAGTTCTCATCTTTTTGCTGTTGCTGAGAGTACAGAAATGTCTTTACTCCACTCCCTTTGCTCTCCAGTGAGAACTGAATGACTCAGTAGAAATAATTAGTGAAAATTGAAGCAAATCTGTGAATTCTACTCTTGCTGCTATAAAACTTACTCTTTACTCTTGGAGCTATACAACTTAGCCTATCACCAATGCTTGGTAAACAGGCCCGGCAGGGCTCTTGCAAGACGCAAGGATCTCTCAGCCATGTCCAACTTGTATTTAAAACCCATCCCTGACAGAGGGCACCACAACCTCCCAGAAGAGCCCTTTCTTACCCTCAGTTTTGGCAAGTTTCAGCCTAGGGGCCATTGCCTGCTGTAGCTTCCTTGCGATCTCCTAGGTCTTACCATATGTCAGATAGTACCTGCATTCTACTTGAAAGCATCTCAGGACAGGAAATGCACACCTCGCACAGCTGGGTCCCCGCCAGAGCCTTCTGGCCATTGTAATTTGTTTCAGATTTACCCATATCTCCCATTTGTTAACAACCCCCTACCTTTTCCTCCTGTTGCAGGTGCTGCRCTGGTTCCCAGTCTTGTTTTCTGGAGTTTCAATGGAATCCTTATGGTGGCTGATGTAACAGGAAAACCAAATTTCATTACTCGGTATCGCATCCAGCTGGGCAAGAATGATCCTGTAAGTATTTCTCTGCTGGCTCTTCACTGCCTCTGCTGCTGGCTAAACACTTCTGCAGTCTCAGGCTTGGAGAGGAGGGGAGAAGCTGTTAAGCAATTCTCTTGGAAGGAGATAGGACTCATGAACAACCAAGTTGAGTCTTGCACATTAGCTGCAGAGAGGAAGGCAGATTTTGTGTTTATGCTACTGATTAGATCTCAGTTATTTCACAGCTTATTAAGAAGTTGATACCCAAACTAATATGAAAAAAAAAGCTACTGTGCACCTTAAAGGCTTTTTTCCTGCTGTTTCCAAATCACATTGCTTCTAGTGTAGCCTGAAGTCCTGACCTCTCTTTTGCAGGTGGACACAAAGAAATTACAGCAAGCGATATACACAGCGCTGTGCAATCAGTTCTTGGTCTCCTTCCCTATGCTTATACCCATGTTCTACCTCATGAAGTGGTGGGGAAAGACCTTCAGTGCGGAACTACCCACCTTCCACTGGTTCCTTTTGGAGCTCAGCATCTTCACCTTCATAGAGGAAATTCTCTTCTATTATTCACACAGGTGAGCTGAACACAAGAATGGGACACTCCCAGGCTTTCAAGGTTAAGAACTATACCCTGCTTTTATGACAGCAATAGTCACAGCATTCCCAGAAATATGTACATTTCTCTTTTGGACTAATGCACACAGAGAACCTAAGAAGGCAATTTCTTAATAAGAGTCCACATAATCTAAAATCCTGTCTTTAATAGATGTCAGTAGGAGAAAACTAGAATGGTGAAAATAAAGTGAGTCTTTTCCCACAAAGTACAGCCAGGTTTGAGCCATCTGGACTTTTGTGTTTAATAGCAGCCAATGGACCTAATTACTGAGTACAGGTCCAACGAGAGAGACAGGGAAACCATGAGTCCTACATTGTTATTCCCAGTGTCTCAAAAATCTCTGCATTAAAAGGAGAAGCGTGAGGAAGCCAGCAGCAGAAATTCAGTGTTATGTGGCTCCGTGCTCCTCTCTTATGCAGCTCAAAACCAGCACTTCTGTTTTCTCGACTTAGGCTTGCTCATCTGCCCCTCCTGTACAAGCACATTCACAAGAAGCACCACGAATGGACAGCCCCCATTGGTGTCGTCTCCATTTATGCTCACCCCGTGGAGCACATAGTAAGTGGTCACTCATCACTCCCCAGTTCCTGCATGGAACATGATTTCCRTGGGGTGAGGATGAATGGTGAAGGAAGGAAAGCGCGTGTACAGYCAACAGCTCCATTCCATATCCAAAGTACTATCTCCTTTAACAAGTCCTGAGCTGCAGCACCAGCTCCGTGGCAGCCACAACAGCGTGCTGAATTTTCAGTGTGTTCAGAYTGCAGAGTGCAGCTGAACCCAGCTAGTGCAGTAAGCTTGGTCTGGGCAACGAGAGCCACTTGTGCTGCTGGTAGCACACAGTGAAGCGGTGCAGTTGGAATTACCACATTGCTACATTTAACTGCACGTGCCCACAAGCCAGGGACCAGGTTGCCCAAGAGCAGCTTCAGCGTTATTCCAAAGTGAAGGTCAAATCCAGAGCTCTGACTCCAGGGAGAGTTATTAAAACTGCTGTCCTTGCACACTTTCTTTGATTTCACATCTAAATTTTASTGCAAGCTTAGGGAGCTTGGATGGTTGGTGTGTGCTGCAGCAAGTACAGCCCAGTTGCCTCAGAGCAAATTGTTTCGTTGGTTGGTGTTTTAGTGAGGCATTTGCAGAAGGGTCTCACCTTTGCAGTATTTGCACAGAACTCATGCAATGTATCCTCCAAGTGAAGCAATTCAGCTCTTTAGGAGGGGAGTCTGCATTTTGTGGACCCACTAATGAGGTGCAGTTTGCTTCTCGTTTCTAGCTCTCCAACACATTACCTGTCATGACCGGCCCGATGATCATGGGGTCTCATATCGCTTCCATCGCAGCGTGGTTCTCCCTGGCGCTTTTAACAACGAGCATTTCGCACTGCGGCTACCACCTGCCGCTGCTGCCGTCGCCCGAATTCCACGACTTCCACCACCTCAAGTAGGTGCGGGCGCTGCTCGGCCTCCCTTCCCTGCCGCCCAGGCGCCGTCACGCCGCCCCTGAAGCTCGACTGGGTTTGCCTGACTCGTGTACAAGCAGAGAAACGGCACCAGTTCACTTAGTAGGACAAATGCTCAGCTCTTTAAACAGTTACAGCATAAGTCTGGATTTCAGAGGATTCCAGCTGAGCTGCTGTGCAGGTCAGCCACCTCCCCGAGGTCTGCGTTTCTCCATGAGCTAACTTRGAAGCTTTCAACATAGCAGCCGAGGCTGAGGTTGTTTCAGGTTTCCTTAAKATTCCGTGGGAAAAGCACATACCAGCTAAAGTAGCAGCTACTACCCGGCCTTCCCCAGGACAAGCTCAGGGTCAAAGATGGATCTTTGCAAAGTTTTTCCCAGAAGTGTAGAAGATATTGCACAGGATCTAGAATAAAGGGAGAGCAAGGGCCCATTGCACAGCTGATGTGTTTGCAGAAGGAGCCTGCCTGTCTTTTTCCCCCAAGCCGGGATTAACAGCGTTCTCATCARCTATCCTGCCCAAGCAATCACAGGCTTTACCTCCTGGCAAAAATCCTCAACCCTCTTTTCTCCCAGAGAGAGCACCATTTCGGTAGGTTGTTCACAGATACAAAAGCAGTGGAAGTTTGTTCCAGATGCTCATTAAATCCATACAAATATTCCCTTTAACACAGTTTACCTCTCCTGCGGGAGGAGGAAATACAACAGCTCTACTAAGCACAACGCAGCACCCAGAACAGAGCCCGCTCTTGTTACCAGTCATTTCCTCTGCAGCTCAGCTCACGTCGGGACACGGATCCCCACGGACAGCCCAGCCTCGGAGTAGAGGCTTCCCAGCCTGCTGCTCCGCTGCTCCCATGGCTCCAAGCAACCGCGGAGGAAGGGAGCTGTTTTCCAGCAGGATCGTTTCTGGGTATCGATGCAGTTGGCAGGCAGCTCCCAGGAGCGGTTTCACCCAAGCTTCAGCAAATGTGGAAGACCAGCCCTTGATAGAGGCTGCTACAATGGGAGAACTCATCCAAGAATGGGTGGCTCATCCAAGGAGATGGAATAGGAAGGGTGAGGTAACCTCAGTAACTTCCAGTGATGGGTGTCCTCTGTTTGCCTGGCAGGTTCAACCAGTGCTACGGAGTCCTGGGACTGCTGGACTATCTTCATGGAACGGACACCGTGTTCAGACAGACGAAAGCCTTCGAGAGACACCGAGTCCTGCTCAGCCTCACGCCGCTCTCCGAGAGCATCCCCGATTCTCCTAAGAGAGCAGAGTGAGGCCCGCCAGCTTGCAGGCCTTGCACAGCCGTGACCAGGAGAGCCAGACACAAGGATTTATGCCAAATMGTATTTTAATTTGGAAGCAGGTTATTATTGTTCTTAATTAACAAAACTCAAAGCTGAACTCAGAAATGCTCCTCGCAATTCCTGCACTTGCTGCCTGTGAATTCCTGTCTAGGGCACAAAAACTTGCATGAGAAAAGTATTTTCAAAACTATATAAATATATATATATTTAATTACTTGTACTGTTCCTTGGTTTTTGCTGCCTGCCCCCAACCAGATGTTTTCTAGGCCACCTGTTTGGTTGTGTTTTGCTGGGCGGTGGTGGGAGGGAAGAAGGGGCCCTATAATCCCACGAAGGTCCCAACACGTTTTCACAGGCCATACTTTTGGACATATTGCTACTCTTTCAGCTGAATATACAGAATTATCAGTAAAATTACTAGAACCACACTGTGTAGGGATTCAAAAGCTCTACTTCAGTCAAACACAGCTTTAGCCGATCTCAGAAAACCTTGGATGTGGGATTTTTTTGTCCTAGAATCCCATGGAAACAGGGCCTTAGCTTAAGAAACATCCCCCAGACTCCGTGCATGGGCTCCGAATKCCCGTGAGCGGTGCCTCAATGCGCAAGACTTCAGTACAGGTCTGAATTAAGGCCTGTCACATCCTCAGCTCTACAAACTAATCTGCAAATACAAATAAAGTTTCTTCCACATGGGCCACAGCAAAGCACAACTGGGAGAACTTGTGTTTTTACTGCTAAAACAAGTAATATGAGGGAATGGAGTAAGAAGTCACTGCTCCCATGGGAGCACATGCATCCGTGAGCACCTACACTTAAGGAATTTCTGAGAACACGCRTGGATCTGCCCCACGCTGCACGTACCTGGTGTGAGTCAGAGGCCGGCCCCRCTCCGGGTCCTGCGCCCTTCACACGGGAGCTCAGCCCCTCACACAACCTGCAGGCCTCCTGGGAGCCAGAGSGGACTGGAAGAGAAAACCCAAACTGCAGTGTCTTTTGAAGTTTTTATTTTTATACATTTTTTTTGTATTAAAAAGGAAAAAGCATAATTACCACAAATTACAAAGGACTAAAGCATTACTAGAATAATGAATCACATCAGCCTAGAAAGCAGATACTCTGAATAATATTAATGTTATAATACAAGCTCTCATTCAAGTATTTTACATTTTTCTCTTTTCCTTTTATATGTGATGATGATTCTAGCACATGGGTCAAAGATTATGTACTATCGACATAAGATGGATCATGTACAGCGGGCCATATTAACAAGATTTTCCTCTGAAGTGATACATGGTCTGTGATGAGTCATTTGAAGTCTGTCTCTACAATAAATGCAGCTGAAGAAGGTTGCACACACTTTCTAGATTGGGGAAACAGAAGGCCGGGGTCAGGACACACACAGTTTGAGAAGGGCCAGCACATCAAACCATCACCCACTTCGTTCGGGCGAGCTACCGAGGGGCCGGTCCCCACAATGAGGGCGGGCTGGGGTGAATGTTTGGGGCCAGGGGCTGCCCCTGTTCACGCTGCCTCGCGCTGCCTCGCGTTCCCTCACGCGCTGCCCCACGCTGCCTCGCGTTCCCTCACGCGCTGCCTCGCCAGGAGGCGCCCCCGACCAAGCGCCCCTTCCCCGGGGGACACGGGCCAGCACTGCCGAGGCGGGAAGGAGCCGCGGAGGGACAGAGAGGGGGATCTCGAGTTAACCCGGAGCGCCTCGGCGGCGGCAGACGAGGCGCCCGAGGCCCAGGCCGCCCCGCGAGCTCCCACCACCGCGTCGCGCTTGTCACAGATACACGGTCCTATGTTCAAGTGTCTGCAGAAAATGCAACTGTAAACTACTCATGGAAACACTGCCCCTCCATCCACCTGTCTCACGCCACTGAGATGAGTATTTTCCTTTTAAGAAGTCATTCATCTATTACAGGTATTGGAAACTTTTTAAAATAAAAGTCAGTGAGGCATTTAACATCAAGTGCAGCAACCCTCTCAAGAGCCTAGCATCCATTTCGAAACAGTGACGAAGTGACATAACCAGTCTCAGGGAAGAGACACAGCAGAGAGAAGCATTCCAAACACAGCTTGCTACATTTACAGTTTTTTTTTTCCATTTTTTTCTTTTTTTTTTCTTTTTTTTCTTTCTTTTCTTTTTTTAATCCTTCTGATAAAATAAGTGGAAAGGCATTAACAGCTAAGAGGCGCCCTCCTCTGCGCGGCCATGCTGAGTGCGTCAGGACACGTGGCAGGACACGGAGGCTGCCGCGTCGCTTCGTTACAGTACAGGTGAGCAGGGAGAGCCCGAGGGGAGCCGGGGGCTGTGGCCAAGCGTCACCACGGCCGAGTGTGAGGGGAAGCGGTGGGAAGGGGCAAGGGTTGCTTTTTTGCCCCATTTCGTTTCTTTCTAAATGAACACAGCGAAGCAGCAACTGCCGCCTCCAAAGCACGCGCCTTCCCCCGGCGAGCGCCGCCGGCCGCTGCGCTGCTCCCAACCGCGACCGCCTCAGAGGGGAGCTCAGGGGGCAGAGCCCGCGCTGCCCYGCTCCGCTCTGCCACCGCCTGCCCCCTGGGGCTCCCTGGAAGCAGCTGGGTCTACCTGGGTCCTCGATGCCACCCGGCGCAGTGAGCGTGGGCTCCAGAACCTGCGGTGCTGCAGGGGTTGGAATCTGTCCCCAACCGCTCAGACACGGGAAGAAAACAACAGGAAACGTGATTGCCACGAAGCACACGAGCTTAAAGCAAGGCCTAATTCCTTCCCTGGCACGAGGGCTCCAAGGCTCCTTAAAAGCACAACCCGCTCGGCCAGGCAGCTACCCCTTCTCCGGAACCTCGTGCAGCAGGAAGGAAAGTGCCTTAAAGAGCTGCCCCTGCACACACTGCAAGCTGGAAAACCCTGTTCAGGTCAAGCTCCCAGGTCCTCCTCAGCAGGAGGCACCGAGCACCCTGCACCCCTCGCCCGGCCACGCGCTGCTGCACAGCACGAGGGCAGAGACCTGCAGGAACGAAACACGGGCAACTTACCGACCTGCGTGGTTTCACTGCACAGGAAGACACACAAGGGCAAGCAGCAGCTGCCTCGAGGCCGCTCGTGTCCTGCTTTCCTTCACTCCCCGCACGCACTAGCGTCTAACACGGCAACCAGAGCAAGGCACAGTTAACACAGGAGCTACCGTCGCCTCACACGCGGAGCGGAGCTGGCGCTGCCCCTCCGGCGCTCTTGGCCACGCTGACACGACCACCACTGACTCGGCCCAGGGGGAGCCGGTCGGGGCTGAGGCTGGGGCCTCGGCCTAGAAAACTAAGACACTAATTTAAGATCAACTCAGMTTTCAAAAATATTCTCTGGGACGTTTCCGAACCTCTTCTACTACCCAAGCAATTCCACAGGCTGCTCCACAAGCAACAACGCCATGGCAGCAGCTTACTCTTCCTAGTTTCCTATTTCGTTTGTTGCTAAAATAAAATGCAGACGATTGGCTTCAAAACAGAAGATGCACCAGTGGGAGGAATACAAGGACCTTTGCACCAAAGACCTCCTGGGTATCACGCAAAACCCACCTGCACTTGAGAACAACCTGGACCAAGTCTCCAGGGCCCTTGTTCAACCCCCAGCCTGCAGCCTCCGGGCTCCTCCAGCACAATTTGGGGGCAAAACTGCTGCATTTGTAACRTGAGACACCTGACTCCATCCCGCAAGAGGAGGGGAATTCAGAGGTACCGGTGGAGGCCGCGCCGCGGCACAAACGCTGCTGGAGAACCGAGGCCGGGCAGCGCTCGGGAGCCCAGAGCAGTGCAGCCGAGCGGAGCAAGCCAAGGACGTGCCCATGTGCTGAAATCCGGCCTCGAAGGGTACCAACCTGCAGGACTGATGTGCTAAATGGTAGAGCCAGAACAGGATCACATGAGGAAATGGCGCAGCAGCAGCTCCCCGGCCTCGCTCAAACCTAGCTGTGCTCTCAGTTGCTGGCAGCCCTTCCCGGAGCTGCTCCACACGGAGCAGCCTCCTCCTTCCCTCCTGCCCCCCTACTCAAGCAGCACGCTTTGTTTGCCCRATGTCCGTGTGGGAAGACAGTAACTTCAGGCAGGCAGAGCCCAACAGGCATCCAGCGCCGCTCCCGATCTCCTCTCCCCGCTTCCCACCCCGGCCAGCTCGCCCAAGCTCAGTGCCCTTTTTTCTGCTCTCTCCTCCCAGCTACATGGGAACAGCTCCRCCACCATGACTCACTTGTCCAGCTACAGGACACAGCACCGCGTCAGCCGGGCACTTTGGAAGGATGCAGCTCCTACCAACTCTTGATTTTGCAGGGAGGGTAACGCACCCCATGGCTGCACCTTGGCGTGGCAGCAGGCACCGGAGCAGGACAGCCCAGGAGGGAGCAGGAGCCACGACCTGGCCAGCTACAAAGCATCCTGACCCAGGAGACAGAGCGCAGCAGCAGCAAGGCAAGCAGCTCTTGCTGAAAGCAGCTTCTACCTTTAAAGCAGGAGCACCATCTTCCAGTGCTACATCTGGGCTCCAGGAGCAGATTTCCCCCGCTCTGACACGACCCCGCACGCGGCCACGTTCCAAGGCAACGCAACTCAGGCTCGAGGGGAGGATCTGCCTGTCCGAGCTCGCCGGGCTCGCAGAGGAGCTGAGCAAATGCCAGGGCAGCTCTGCAGTTGTCCCCCTTCCCTCAGCCACACAAGGGGCAGCAGGGGAGTCTCAGCCCTTGGAGAAGCTCAGGGCTGCTGCCCAGAGCAGGAGCCTCCGGACAGTGACCTGCTGAGATGCATGGAAAGGAAAGCACCCAGGAGCCCCTCTCACAGGCCGGTCTCCCGCTCGCAGCCCGTGCAAGGGGCGCTGGTGGCCCCGGCACCGCAGCGCTCGCCCGCCAGGCTGCAGCCTCAGGCGCAGGACAAACAGCCCCTGCAGCTGCTGGGATGGATCCCTGCTCAGCTCTGTGCGACACAGGAGGTGCAGAGCTCTCCCAACCGGACACGGCCACGCAGGAGCCGCACACGGGGAAGGCCGCGCGGCACCGCCAGCACCGACGCCGCTGCCGCGGGCACAACGCGGCCGCTGCCACTACTTCACGAGCAGAGTCTGGGGTGGTCCTGCCCTCGGCACCCTCCCCTGCCGGGGTCGGGGCCGGCCGGGCTCCGCACGGCGGGGACAGGCGGCCGAGGGAGCCGCAGGGTCCGGGCGGGCCGCCGGGAAGGTCGGCTCGGCGGCAGTGCCGGGAGGAGTCTCAGGGCATCCGGGCTAAGAGCCCCGCGCGCTGCAAGGTCCGGGAAGCCGAGCGAGCCGCCCAGGTCCAGCTCCACCGTAAGGCAACTTTTTTTTTTCTCCTTTTTTGTGTGTTTTTCTTTTTCTTCAATTAATATTTCCAAGGAAGAGAGCAAAGGGATGTGTCTTTTTAAAGAGGGTTTTTTTTTTGTTATTTTTAGGGGTTTTGTGTTTTTTTTTTTGTTGTTGTTCTTTCGTTTTTCCAAGGGAGAAAAAAAAAAAAGGAAGAGAAAAATCTCCTTCACCAAAGTCCTGTCTTTGGACGCCCGGGGTGATCCGGGGAGACAGGCACCCCGTCCGCAGGGGCTCAAGTCCAGGCGCCCGCCTGCCTCTCCCCAGCCCCACGCGCAGGAAGGAGGCACAACAAGCCTGTCCTCGGCAGAGGTCCTTTGGTTGACTTCCAAATTGTCCGTGATGGAAGGGAGAGGCGGGCAGAGGGAGAGCCAGACCCAAGGGAAGCTTGAAGACGCTGGGGAGGAGGGACAGGGACGATGTTCCTTTTGCAGCAGTCAGTGACGAGGACGCGTCATCATACGTGGAATGGGAGAAACCGGCCAGGCCATGGAGGTCGGAGGCTCCACAGGGTCAGCAGACGCTGCGGCTTCGATCCCCCGTCGGGGAACCTCGCTCCTCCGAGCTTCCTGATCGGGCTGCCCAGCGATCCAAAGGGTGAACACAGAGGGGAGCTTCGGCGCCACGCAGAGCAGACTTGTTTTGGTAAATCCAGACAAACTTCTAGCAATAATTTAAAACTTGATATATATATAATAATAATAAAAAAATCTCCCCTTTCCAACCCAGCCAGAACATTTTTTTAAAGAGACACTACGACATGAATGTGTGCACAGAAGGGGAGCAGTGGGGAGGACAAGCAAAAGATGGGTCCGGGGGGATGGGTCTGGCTCTGGTCGGGGTTGTAATAGCAAAATGGTGTTTTAGATGCAGATCGTCTTTGCTTTCCAGCCACAAGAGAAAAGAAGAAAATATCATGTGCGTTGTAGTTTCTCCCCAGCAGCCTGTTCATAGGCACCCATTTTCCAACTCCCTTCCTGTCCTTCCTCCTCACACGTCCCTTCTCCRAGCCGGTTCCCACCACCCGCCCCGTCTCTCAGCGGGAAGCAGAGCTGCAGCTCCTCTACTTCCCCACCGTCTGCGACTCCGCGGCTGCYGGCGCAGGGACTCCTTGGCTCAGGGGTTTGGCATCCTCGTGCGCGGGCTGGCTGGGCAGAGGGTGCCCTTGGCTGGCTGGGCACTGGCTGACCGTTTTGCTGGAAGACTGCGACGGGTAGCGCTTCCTGCCGTCTCCTCCTGACGTCGTCGGGTATCTCTTGTGTCCACCTTCCTCTCCCATGGGTGGCTGGAACAGAAACACCTGCTATCAGCACAGTCTTCTCCACTTTAAGGTTCTCTTTTCTGCCTCCTCGGCTGGTGGGAGGGTCATGCACGCACTCACTGCCCCATGCCTGTGCATGGACAGGCGCCACGTGAGCTTTGTGTCCAGCGACAGCCCCTCTGGTCCTGAGCAGCACCTGACCACATCCCACCTCACTCACAGCCCGGCCCCAGCACAGGGAAAGGCCTGAGCTCCCTGCGAGCTAGAACACAGCACTGCTTAAATTTAAAGTCAAAGGCAGAATGAATAGCACTGTCTCAAGGATGGAGCAGCTGAAGAGGAGCAGATACTTGGAGGTGTTCAAGCTGCTGTCCCTAGCCCAGCTGCAATGAGGAGGCATGACACTAGGGGTCACTGACTTTCCCRGCCTCCACCACTCAGGCCTCCAAACCCAAGGGGAAGAGGAGAGGCTGAGGAGGGAGATGAGTTACAGTGCAGGTCCTGCTCCTACTCACGTCCACTCGGAAGTCCTCGAGGCGCTTAAACTTGCTGAGGTATTCTTGCAATTTGCTGTTGATGTCCAGGTTTTTGGCTTTGGAATATTTTAAGAAGGCCCAGAACTTTTCCAGCCCATAAAGCTGTCCTATAATGGGGGGAAGAGAATTGAACCACAAGTCAGAACTGTTGCCTAAAAGCTTTCCCAGTGCTAGACCTGCAAATTTGCAACCCCGGGGACTCTTCTGGCCCACCAGAAGGCACAAGGAAGGCAATAGAGAATGTGGAAGACCGCAAGCTACATCAGGTCAGTAATGTGCAGCCTTCTGGTGAGGAGACATCCCCAGACTCTGTGCTTAGACTGATAGTGACAAAYAGGTGACAGACTGCCACACTGCAAGGCAGTGAGAAAGCCCAGAATAATGTGTTTTGTAATAGCCAGGCTTCCATCATCTCATTTCACCCTATGTCCTTCTATCTCCCCAAACAGGCTCCAGACAAGCAAACATCTACACTGGTCTCTGCTCCAAAGCAGGGGCACCCCTCACCACAAGGGGATGAGGAGAGCAGGTCTCAAGCATCTCAGACAGTGCAGGTGGCACTAGACAAACTCCAAGCCCAGGTCCCTGCCTGTGCCAACCTCCCCTCAGTCAGCCTGGGGAAAAGATTAAAAAAAGAAAGAAAAAAAAAAACCTAGGACAAAACAGCAAAGCCATGGAACCCAGCATAACAGTGGGGCATCGCAGCAAGGCCAGGTCAGACACATTCACATAAAACACTTTTTCATTTTCCTGAGATTATGAGCAGAGGCCCAGAGGCTCTAATGAGCTACATTACTGCCAACTCAAGGGGAGTCCAAAGGAGGTACCTACCAGCTTCATAATCCTTGATGGTCTCTTCTTGAAAGTCTTTAAATATGTCTGGCCGGAACTTCTTCTCCAGCCCATAGCTGTAGTATCTGAAAAGGCACTCCAGACCGTACCTGAGAAGAGAGCGACGTGTCATGCTCACTGCAGTGCATGCGACACCTGCACAGAGCAGCTCTTGCAGCAGAGCACCCTGCTGCACGTCGCAAAAAGAGCAGGTGACGGAGGGCAGCCCCAGTCCTGCCTCCCACAAGGCAGAGATGCTGCCTTCGCTTTGCTGTGAGCCCWGCAGACCCTCTTCCCTCATTCCCCTCCCAGGAATGATCATCCTGCCCTTCTCCTACCTGTATCCCTCCTTCCCGTCCTCCACAGCCAGTTGCTTGAACTCCTCGTACATCTTCTTGTTGAAGTGATCTCGGAGGAAGAAGGACCAGAACCGGAAGAGCGTGTTCATCTCCTGGGACTGCCCGATGCCCAGTCGTTTCCGCTCTGTTTGGGGAAGAGGGGCTCATTACAAGACAGACCTTGTCCCAAACAGCCAGCTCTGTACAGGAGCTCACACATAGGAGAGTTTGTGGCATTGTGAACAGCCTCACTTGTTGGAAGCTCCCTAAGAAACAGCTCTCCCTCTCCATGGACCGGAGGGGAGCATCAACTACCAACAAGGTTGTCCTACAGCATCCTGCTGGTCTTGCAGCGAGTGCTCTGCTACCCCATGGTGCCCATCCAACACACCAGCAGAGGGGCACCTTGCCCCAAAGCCCGCACGGGTGTCCCTGCCCGTGTGCCTACCATTAAGGCAGCGCCGACGGTACTTGTGGTAGACGTGTTGCGTGAAGCCGTTCTCCTTGAGCAGCTCGTGGGAAGGATGCTGRAATTTGGGCAGGGACTGCGGGGTGCAGCCATAGCTTCCAACAGCCGGGGTCCCTTCTGAGGGGCTGGAACTGAGCACAAGACACTCCTGTTAACCCCCTTCCTTGGCATCACCCAGCCAACAGCAGCACGAGCTCACACTCCACCCTGCAACACGTSTGCCCTGGTCCTGCCAGACCAGACAACACTGCCAGTCCCTTTACATGCCCATTCCCTTCCCTGTCTCTGCTTTCCCTGTCACTCTGCCTATGTCCCATACCTGATAGAGGCAGTACGAGGCCTGTGCTCTCGAGAATCCATCACCCAGCCCACGTGGCACTCCATCGGCGGATTTGAACTGTGTCTGGTCTTCCTCTTCCGCGGAGTCTGCAAGACACAAAGCATCAGGGATCCATCCTCTCCCCCTCTGGGCCCCAGCTGGGTAACCCCAACCTCCCCCCTGCACCCCAGCCCTGGTCTCACCTTGGCATCTATCGTCCTGCCTTCTTTCACCACTGGATAAAATCTGGGTGTCTGTGTTGGGTCTTTGAGCTGAGGTGTGCGAGGGGTCCGGGGGGTCCTGGCGTTGCGATAGTTGGGTGATTCTGGTACAGTCGTAGGCAAAGAGCGGGCAATTGTGGAAGGCTCGGGGACTCCGAACAGCTTGTTAGCCAAGGCGTCTGTGGGTACTGCAGAGAGAAAACCCCCATCCTGGGTCAAACTGAAGTCTGAGCCTGAGGGTATCACTAGAGCCAAGGGACTCCTTGCCAAGAGCAGGAACTCATGGATGTATCTCTGTCTTCCTGAGATGACCAACTTCAAATCTCGCCTGTGACAAGCCTGTTCGGGCCTTGCAGCAGGTCCAAGCCTGAGTYTCCAGGAATCCTACAAGTTATTTGTTTCCTAGCAGCTAACAGCAATGACAACTCCCTGCAACCCAAGCAGGACAGGCCAGCACTCCGCCAGAGCACCAGGCAGCCAGGCCTGGCACAGAATTCTCTCTCAGGTAGCGATGTTCTGATGAGTGGGTCCAAAAAGGAAGCTGCATCCTCACTGTTAGGTGAGGCAAAAGCAAGATCTCCCCCACTGGCTGGGACACCCTTGCCTTTGCAAAGGTCTCTTCTCTCGGTGCCCCAAAACACTCAGCCAAAAGAGCTGTGCTGCCCTAGGAGGTGACACCACACGGCTGTAGGTCCCTACTTTCCTCTCCCCTGCTGTGACCAAACCTCCCAGGCCCACCCATGTATCTAAGATCTGCAGCTCCAGTTCCTGCCACTGCCAGACCCTCACAGAGGCTGCACTGGCAAGTTTGCTTCAACMCCTCCACCCAGACCCAGCCCTGTTAGGAAGGATGAGGGCAATCCCAGTCCTACCCATTCCTCTCTCACTTACCTTGCTGGAATCTGGGAGGGCCGGGAGGAACTTCTTGGTTGGGATCCACAGGGGGCTCTGGGGTCAAGGTATCGAACTGCTCCCTGCTTATCATATTCACCTTCTTGAAGTTCTCCACCTCTTGCTGCATTTGAAGAGGAAGATGATGAAGCAACTAATTATTCACTTCCCTCAACTCAAAAGCTTTTCTCCATCACTGGAGCAATAGCCACAACACTGGGCACAAAATACAGCGACTGGGCCTCAGTGCCCAGCAGGATGACTCATATGCTTGTGTGTTACAAGGAGAAAGCCAACAGTCAAAAAAGGGTCCTGCAGTGACCACAGCTRACTCCATCAGATTTCAGGGATCTTTCAGAGCAGCTTTACCCACCTTCACTTACTTCTTTCAGGCTCTTCTATTTACTTATACCAGCAGGGCTCAAGCTAAGTTTGATGACCTCTGCCTGACCAGCACCCACTATCYGTGCTGCCTTCTTGCATTTCTGCCACCTCCTCCCCACATCCCTAAACAAGCCTAGAGAAGTCCCTGACCATGAGTCTCCAAGCTGGGACTCTCCTGTTTTAGAGGCAGATGGGTTTCTCTATAAAGCCCAAGCCCATGCAAACCAGGAAGTGASCAGGGATCAGGTGCGACCGAGCTATCAATGAACCAGCCCCCAGTAACTGCTGACGCTGAAGCACCATTAAACTGGGCACTACAGACCATGCAGAGACACCTACTCGCTCCAGAGATCCCACACTGCCCGCCCACCCCTGCACAGAGGAGCAGCCCAGACCCTGGCAGACAAAGTGACATGTTCCATTTTCCAAGTCACCTTGTTGCCAGCACATTATTTAACTCGCTGCAGCCTTGCGCTGCATTACAGGGCTGTTTATCCCACACACCACAGAGCAGAATGCTGGGAACCAGAAATCCCAAGCACTGCCTGCAGCCCTATGCTGTAAGAGGATAAATCCCAGCTTAGCTCTACCCTGTACATGGGCTAGAGCCCTGGGAACTGCCCTTTCCATCCCAAAGCCCCAGGGTGGTCAACCTGCCTCACGGGCTCCCTATAAGGAAAAAGCTCCTGCCACACATAAACTCYCTCCCTTGGATCAGCTACTCAGCTCTCACCTTGATCTGAGAGTACTCTGGCTCAAACTGCTCTGTCCACAGGTCCTGCTCATAGTAGTAGAGCCCATCATTGATGACCTTGGCCAGCTCCGAGCTCATTTTAGCCCTGGATGTGTGGTTGCCAGTCCGGTCCCCGCCAGGGTGCCGGCGCAGGTAAGGAGGTGTCTGGGTCACAATGAGGATCTTGTTCACATCCCGATCATCTATCTCATAATCCGAATCCTCATCCGACCAGTCGGTGAACGTGTTCTTGCGGCCATCCATCTGCTCCATCTCCTCATCAAAGAGGAAGTCCAGCTCCTCAGGTTCATCTTGGTCCTTTTGCTTCTGCTGCTGTGGTGTCTTGGCCTCCTCTGGTTTCTACAAGCCAAAGGTGACGTAGGGTAAAGATCAGCCAACAGAACACACCCAGCACTTGCAGACTCTGCTATTCCATTTTTTTTTCTTTATCCTATCCAGAAATTGTCCATTTGAGAACACTATTTGTATCTCAGGCACTGCATATTGGTTATTAAGGGAGTTCAGATGAGGGCAAGAGACACTAGAATATCACTCCAATGACAGACAGACTTTGTCTGTCTTGAAACCTGATGCTCARTTACGATTCAAGACAATTGGCCAAACCCCATCCCAGTGGCTCCTACATCACTCCATACCTTGGGCTTGGCTGGAGAGGGCCGAGGCCTCTTCTTCACTTCAATCCATGTCTCTGAATCCAAGTCGGGCAAGCTGGCGGACAACCCCTTGGGCATCGTCTTCAGGTTACTGACCTCCTCAGTCTTGGTGGGGACYGGGCTGGCAGGTCGTGGGGAGCCAGGAGCAGATTCTACATATGGTGAGAGACAAGAAAGTGCTCTATAAACCTCAGAGCTGGTGCTCAGCTTCGCTTACAGCCCGGGCTTAGAGGGAAGAAGCAAGCCCTGGGGACTGGGTCCGTGAAACACCCAACCAAGAGGAAAACATCTACTCCTGCTATCAAGTTTGACAGCATAGCAGAGCTCATGGGACATGCTAGCAAACAATACCCTCAGTAGAAACGTCCCTGCTATCAAAAGGCTGCCTCAGAATGCTAATGAAGTAAAAAAATCTGTTTATGGCAGTGGTGCTGGTCTTGACCACAGAGCTCTGCAGATGCCTGCTTCCCAGATGGATAAAAGAGACCCAAAGAAGGTAGCTAATATACTGCTCTTAAGACACCTTCTCAAGACAGCCTTATAGCCAGTGGGCACAGATCTCCCCTGCCAACACTAGCTCTTACAAAAGCCCTGGCACCTCCTTTATACGGCCTTTCAAGGTCAACTCTGGGCTCCTGCCAGGGAGGATGGAGGAATAAAGACAAGGGACAGTCCTTAAAGGATTGCTGAACCTTCCCCAGCAATTGCTTGACAGCTCCTTACTTGCTGCCCCATTTGTGCCCCACATCTCCTCACCCATTTGGGTAAGGTTGGGTTCACGAATATCCTCTGCTTTGCCCAACGATGGGAGGGCATTTCCAGGAACGGCTGAGGCACTTCCAACAGGATTGACCTTATCCAAAACCCTTCAGCCTCCATCTGAACAGCACCTCCCACCTGCCCCCAGATCTCTAARGGAAAAGACATACACGTTTGTTTCATGTTTCCCCATACAGAGGGGCAGTGCTCTGAGGGTCTGAAGCTTATTCCACACATAYGGTCAGACCCGTGCTGCTTTGCACCACATAGCAGAAAGCAAATGGCAAAGCCAAGCCCTGACTTGAGGGCATTTTCTCCTCTTAGCAGTCTCARTGCTTTGGCAGTATCAACACCACATTCCAGCCTTCCCAGAACACTCACCTGTCTCCTTCTGGAAGCTCTGTCTGGGCACAAACTCAGGGCAGTTGATGAACTGGGAGAAGTCTGTCTGKGTGTAGTCTGCCATAGGAGGGCCAGGCAGAGCCCATTTTTCTGGCTGCTCTTTTCTCCTGATCTTCTGGTCCACAATTTCCACTACTTTGCTGTCCTTCAGGGCCTGGAACCAAATGATGCTGGGTGAATTTATGGCCCTGCCTTGGCACGCTGAGCGGCTAAGCCTCAGCCCTAGCCCTTCCTTTCTAAATAGTCCAAGAGGAGAAGGGAACAGGGCAAATGATAAAGCAAGCATCACGTGCATCTCACCCATGGCCCAGCTAGAAAACAGTGCAGGATGGTGAGAAAAAYAACAAGGAGGGAAGTTCAGCTTCCCTTGCCCTCACCTTGATGATGAGGCTGATGTCGGTAGTCAGTGCCTGCACCCGGTGGAAGCTGGCAATCAAGGTGATGGGAAGGAAGCCATCCGAGTCCATCTTGCGACGCAGGAAGAAGTCTCGCTCCAGGTTGTCCACGCTGAAGTAATACTCTCTGCATGGACAGCATATCAGTAAGAGGCGGCTCCTGTCACCTTCCTCAGGGAACCCTGAGGAAATAATCCCTACCCTGCCTCCATGCAGCTCCTGCACAGAGCTGTTCTGCTGCTGCAAGGCTGCATACAGAGAGCTGGGGAGCCTGGGCATGCCGATGCAGCACGTGCTGCAAGCAGCGTAGCATAGAGCAAACATGCCTCAGCTCCAGCCTCACCCAAGAGAYTAGCTATGCAGTCCCCAGGGAAGGTGTCATTAAAGAGGCCACCAACAAGCACCTCCAAACAACGTGCAGACAAGGGAGAGAGGCAGTGCTTACATTTGCCGCTTGATGTAGTCCTTGAGCAGCTCCTGGTCCACGCTGTACAGCTCGGTGCTGCTGATGTTGTCGAAGTAGTAAGTGATGTTGCTGGCGTACTTCTGGGTGCGGGAGCCGTCCGAGCCCTCGTACTTCCGGTACCCGTACTGGTAGTCGAAGTGCGCTACGAGACACCAACGAGGGGATGTCTCTGTCAGCACAGAGCCTCCGCAATCTGCTAACAGGTTGTGCTACCAGATTATACCAGATTACAGCACAAATAGCCCCAGGACTGCGGAGTGGGACATCCCCGCTCCACCCCTCATGCTGCCGCTCTCAGCCTTCCCCGGAGAAAGGGCCACCACCTGGGCAAGGAGACGCCATTATCCCTCTTATCCAGGAGCAACCGGGTAGCCTAGATAATGCACCAAGGCTCTGCACTGAAGCCATTATCAGATTCAGCACAGCCACAACCCTGACAAGGGTCAATGTGGATGCTCTTCCTCACTCGAGCAAAGGTTCCTGCCTGACTCTCAACGTTACATTAAGCCCAAGCAGAATATCAGCATGTTCTGCACACAGGAGGGCTCAAGTGACAGAAAGCAGGCAGAAGAGCTCAGCCTGAGAAGACAAACAACATTTACCTTTATTCAAATACTCATAAATATAATTTSCTTTTACTAAAATCAGCTCAGCTAGATGCCACCTCTAGAACAGCACCTAAGTCCTCACAAGGGAAGCCAAATCAAGAGTCCTGGGCCATRAAACAACAGTTCATGCTTCTTAGCTGGGATGATCTGCTTGAACTACTTCTGTGTATCCTACTGCTCTCTGCACCCTCCCCAGGCAGCTTTTCAGGGCCCCAGGTCACCCACACACTCGCTGCTGCCTCGCACGCCTCAGCACACGCCCTGCTCGCTCGCTCTGCAGTCACCAGGCCACACATACAGCGAGCACCTCCTCTGCCGCGGCCCCGGCCCCTGCCGCGGCCCCGGCCTCGGCCCCGGAAGGCCCCTCGCACGGCTCCTCCCTCGCTCTTCACGCTGGAGGTTTCGTCGTGGTCTTGCCAGCTGCGTTCGTGCTTATTATCCGGGTGCCAGCCTGTGGGAGATGGGAAGGAGGAAGAGGAGGGAGGTTAAGAGTTGAACACATCTCCCTAGGGCAAGTCCTGGTGCCTCCGAGCTCTTCCAGAGAGCAGAGTGTTGGCACCAGCGCCAGCTGTGCCTGGCGGGGCAGCCAGCCCCAGGGCTACGGGGCTCGGTCACCCCAGGGCCAGCAGAACTTGCTCATGGCAAGCAGGGGCAGAGCTGGGCCACACACAGCACCCACCTTTCAGCTCGCTGCGGTTGTTGGAAGGGTGTCTGTGCTGCTCATTTTGCCGGTTGTTCCGAGAGGCTGTTTTGTCCCGGGGCACCTCTGACTTCATGTCTATCTGCAGAGGAACCCACTTGTGTTTGTTGCCTGCAAAAGAGGAGGACCTGGGTGTGATGCAAGCTCAGAGATATCTGCTTCCTTGCCCCTCCACCCCTTCTCGCCACACACACCTCACACAAAGTGCAGAAAACATCAGGGCCTTTTGCAGTGACTTTTCCCTTGGATGTCCCTCAGGGCCCCACTCTCTCTGAAGCCACAAGAGGGATCATGAGGATGCAAAAAGGATCTGACTGGGGCTCTSTGGCACAGAGAAAGAACGTGCAAACGCCCCTGTTGCTTCATGGCACTTGTCTCTCCTCTCTTCCTTTCAGTCCACAAGGCTCAGGCCACACCAGCCCACGTGTCAACCATGGCTGACATGACCTACAGTCAGGTGCCTTTTCTGTGCCACCAAGCAGCACACAGGAGAAGGCAGACCCCTCCTGCCACAGCTCCTCAGGAAAGGACACTAGAGGCCCTACGTGGGCCATGTTGTAGCTGCACTCCTGCCTCTGTTTATGGCAAGGTGCACCCTGTTGCAGCCTACACACCTTTCCACCCTGACTGCCCCAGGGCTGGCAGCGTGTCCTGCAGCAAGGCCTGTGGGGACAGCAGGCAGTGCCTGCACCCAGCCTGGGGTCACAGAGGGAGAGACAGGTATCCAAGTGCTGCTGAGCAGAGGTGACTACCCCTGCAGGCAGCCTGCCACAGCCAGCCTCACCTTTCTTCTTTTGGGCTGACTTCTGGTTGTCATCRTCACCGTTCTTCTCCTCTCCAGACTCATCCGATTTAGTTTTCAGACTCTCCTTGCCATCACTCCCATCCCCTTTCTCCTGCTCTTTCATGTCTTTCTTCACAGGCAGTTTACGGATGGGCGGTGCTTTATGCGGCTGCCGGGGATGTGAAAGTACAAGAGGAAACATGAGGGTTGTGAGAAAGTGAAGAGCTGGAGGCAGAGCCCAGCAGTTCCAGTGGGAACAAGGACAGAAGGGTTTAGGAACATTCCTACCCCATGCCCCCCAGAGCTCTCCTGTGTATGTGACCAGGGCAAGGTGTCCTACAAAAGCAGCTGAGTTATCTCCAGGAGACGCACTCGAGTCGGGACACCACTCTGGGCACAGAAGTTAGGGGAAGGACAAGGAGGCTCCATGTTCCTGGATGGGGGCTTCAGATCACACACTGCCAACATGACAAGAGTGCGAGTGACCCTCCTGCCCTGAGACAGCAGGGAGACGTTGAAAACACGAGCAAATACAGAAGTGCTTCAACAATGCCACATCTCCGCAAGGAATGAAAAGCTCTGCCCTATAGACATGCAAATCTCTTTTTCACATGTGCTTTCAACTTTGTCAGTGGAAGTCCCAGCATTTACGCAGACCTTTTCTTGCGACACCCAGCCCTGAGCTGCCCTACCTGCCTCCCCAGCCCCGGGGGTTAGAGCGGGCTCTGCACTCCCAGAATAGCATCACTGAGCAAGGGAGCCCGATCCACGAGGCGGCCCTAAAAGGAAATGCCCTGCACCCAGGATGCTATTCCTGGCTGCTCTGCACCGACACTCAGCACCCCAAATGGTCCGCTCAGCCGAAGTCACCAGGGCGGCAATGGGACACGGAGACCTGCAAGGGCCCTGTCCCATTCACCAGGCGAGAACCCCTCTCAAAAGGCCCAGGATCTCCCACCTTGTAACAACAGAGTACACAGAGGTGCCCATCAACACCACTGCTTCCCCGAGCACGCTACTGAAGGAAGAGGGGGGTATAAAATATTGAGGTTCAACCAAAAATATCTGTTGAAAATCTTATAGTCTCACCTGGACACTCTTGTGGGCTATTTCTCCAGGTGTTGGCCAATTTGTGGCATCACCGAAGTCACCAACCTTGTGTCCAAAGAGAAAGATCTCATTAGTGCACAATTTGTGGGTTTCACCAGATGCCCTCACAGCCATGTTATCACTGCCACCACCCACTCGTGTCCCACAGCTGGCTATCCCCAGAACAGCTTGTGTGTTGTACCCAGTCATCATGGCTGGGTACATCCAYGGCTGGATGACTATATACATCCCCAGCCCCAAAATGGTCCTCAATTTAAACCCAAGYATCTGCAGACCAGTATATATATCTATCAAGGATTGTAACAAATGGCCACCAATCTTCCAACTGTCACCAAGCTCCCTGCCCCAGCAGGAGCACATGGTCTCAAACTGCTCAGGRTAATTCCCAATACCACTCAAGCTTTTAAACAGAGTGTCTTCGGGGAAAGGTTGTAAATTCAGGCCCCTGAGACCTTGTCATAGTTACTGTTCCTTGGACAGGCAAAGCACAACAGAACTGAAAGCAGAACTTCTATTCTTAACCAACCTGAAGCAACCACGTCCCATTAAAGAAGTTGCTTCCACCTAGTGGCAGCCAGGCTCGTTTTCACTTAAGTGCTTAACTGCAATCCAGTGCTGGTGACCACAGAGCATAGGGACTAGGTAGAACTGTTTGGAGGGATTTGGAGGGGGAAAGCAGGCAGGTATCCAATGGTTGTTAGAACAGCAGCAGAAAGCAAGGACCCAAACTGCTGTCTGGATATGTGATTAGTAACGGTTGGACATTGAACTTAAGATGATGCAGCCAGAGAAACTCCCCCTTGTCCTTGAGGGGTTCTCAATTCTAAGTTGATTTGGAGTCACCGAGCCCTTCATGAGAACACATCCCTCTCTGCAAGGCAGGCTTTTAGGGAAAAACCATCTCCAGCGCAGAGCCACACCTGTCCCATAGACAGAAGTATCTTCTGACACCAAGGCCACGCTCTTGAGATGGATAAAGAAGTAATGTGGGGTGTCAGATGCATCTTTGTGGCTGCTGGGAGCCAGCATTAATAGCCAATGTTCTCAGTTATTCCTGGGGTAACTATGCCCCAAGCACCTGCACCATCCTCAGGACGTTCCCCATCAGACTCTGACCCACGGTTCTTCTGCAGAAACAGTAGCTTGGTTTGCAACTAATTAGTGTGGTTGTCGGCGTTCCAGTAGAGAACGCAAACCAGACGGGATCGAACAGGAACCAGCAGATCAGTTCCTCCATCACCCCACAGACCTGCCCACACTGCAAAGCAGGCACAACCAAGTGCTACAGCGTCCTTGAGAGAGGCCACTCCACTAGAGAGCTGCAGAGGGGGTGGAGAACAGGCCATTCTCCTCCCTGCTCTTGCTAACAGGCAGGCCAGCACGTGAGCCCCTCTGCAGTGAGGCTCATGCAGGAAGCGTCTGCTCAGCAGCCTCCCTGGACGCTCACCCTGTGCTCAYGGCTGCACCAGGAGCTGGAGGCCAGCAGGAAAGGTAGCCAGACTTACCTTGCTCCCCTTCCGCTGTCTGGGGTTGGCAGCCCTCACCACTTTAGCAGGGGTTGTAAGTTCTGCAAGAAAAAGAAAATAATAATGTTAAGAGAGAGCTGAGGGCTGTGGAAGTGTTAGCTCTGAGGGGAGGTAGGTAGAAAGCGAGCCACAAGCAGCACTTCCCCTCCTTAGGCAAAGGAGGGAAAAGAAAGAGAAAACAGAGCTGGCTTCTGACTCAGGTTGCAGAAGGGCCCGGCAGGATGGAGCGGAGCCCTTCCCAGGGCTGCCTGCTGCAGATGGGAAGCGCCACATCAGGGCCCCCTGCCTGCTCCATCACATCCTCGTCACTGACGGGCTCTCTGCAGCAGACTCCGCATTCTCTGCACTCGCAGCCCTCCTGATGAAACCAACCCAGTTGGCTTCCCTGGGAATGCAGCCCATAGCCCTGTCCCTCTGCACAAAGACCCCCTGCCTCAGCTCAGCCCTCTCTGCAAGGGCCCTCTCTGCCCTGCCAAGCAGCTCAGCCTGCTCTGCAAAGCAGAGCCCAACCTGCTGCATGCACAGCCAAACCAACCTGCCCTTGAGGAGCCGAGCTCATCRCGGCGCGAGCCCGGCCTTCCCAACGAGGCCGAGGCCTCGGCAGGCGGGACGGGCGCCCGCGCACACGCCTGCTGCCCTGCTCTGCTCGCCTCGCTTTGATCTGCTGTGCGGAGCAGCACGGGGCGCCGCGTTCACGAGAGGGAACGTACGGAGAGAGGCAGCCACGCGGGGACGCGCAGGGGCCTCCGCCGCCCGCAGCGCTCAGGTGCCTCTGCGGTACTCTATCAGCCCCGGTGCCCGTACTCTAAAAGCCTTTTTAAGAGCTTTTAAGAACAAGCAGGTCTAGCTCTTATGGGAACTTTTCAAAAGCAGGAGGGGTCACAGAGGGGACTGCAGACAAACCCTCCTGGGATCACATCACATCATTAAAAAATGCTACCGAATTCTTCATCTCAATGCTGTTCCCTTCCAATTTCAAGGGCTCCACAAAGCTTGCAGCAAGCCTTCCCACATGCAGATGGGGTTTGCTAGTACGTTTTTAAGCAGCACGTACCAAATTTATTCCGAAACTGAACGAATGTGATGGGAAACCACATCTTCACACACACCGGGGACACACAAAGGCCGAGGCAGCCCTGCTGCAGCCCCGCTGTCCTGCAGGGACCATGCACGAGGGCCAGCTCCTTAACATGCAAGCCAAGCAGGAAGCAGCGCGGGGATCCCGCTCAGGGAGGAGCCCACGGCCTCACGGTGCCGCTGGGGCCCCCACGCTGCCCGGGCAGCTGGGCGAGCGGCACCACCAGCCCCGGCTGCCAGAGCAGGAGGCTCGGGCGGGGGTGAGGAGGGATGGGGGTGAGGAGGGATGGGGGTGAGGAGCAGGGCCCCGAGCGGCAGCAGAAGCCACCTGGGGACACCCAGGGAACACCCGGGGTAGCCTACCGAGCTCCGCTCAGAGCTGGCTTTGATCTCCTGCATAAGGCAGCTTCACTTTGCCTAGATGATCAAAACCGGTCCCTTTCGGAGCCTTGAAACCTATGATTCATCCTGCCAGCCCAGCCTTGCTCAGAGCTGGAAACTTTGAAGTGTCAATAAGGCAGAGTCGGTCACGGCAGAATGAAGCCATGTGCGTTCCCTTCCCCCTCTCTCCCTTTCATGGGGCGGTTTCACCCCAGGGACAGCCCAAGCTCTTCACTGGGTCCCCAAATCCTCCTCATTTCCTCCAGCGCCTCCCCAGCCTGCTTGTACCGCCGCCCTAATCAAACCCCGGCCATCCCGCGCGTCCCTCGGTTATTCCATGTGCACCTCATTGAGAATCCTGGCTCTGTGCAGGAATCTTGCCACGAGGCTTTTCAACTTCCCTGCTCGCGTAGGAAGAACGAGTGCTTTCAAAGCGGCCCCTGAAATCCTCCACTCGACGCCCACAGATGTCACCAACTAAATATAGCTTCAAAAGGCTCCAGCGCTGCAGCGCAGCCCGGCAGGCAGCCCCTCTCGGCAGGGACGGGAGCGCCCGTCGGCTCCACCACGCTCGGCACAGCTGGAAAAGGGAACTGCCCTCCCCGCACAGCCCGGTGAGCATCACGGCCCCGGCGGGAGCGCAGGGCGCCCGTGCCCGCTGCAAACACCCGCCTGGCACCACATGAAGGGCATCCTGCCCTCTCCGCTCCAGCAGCCACGCCGCCAMCCTGTCACATCGCCACATAGTTTGGGACATCCCTGGGGACGGGTCAAAAAGAGGTCCCCTCTGGCCTCTAACTAAGGAGAGCACCAATGCAAGGCGCAAGCGGGGGGGTGAGCAGTGCCAGGGCTCCACCGTCTCTGCGGCGCAGGGAGGAGATTGCTTCAAACAAGTTCTGCGAGTTTCCTTATCTGCAAGATAGGAGCAGGGATCCCTTATCGAGCAGAGGTGCTGGGAGGACTAATTAGCGTTTGCAGAGCACCGCAGGAGACACAACACGCTGAGCAAAGCTGCAGCCCGGCGCGGGACACCCACTCAGGCACAGATGCGGAGGCGGCCGCGGGCTGCTCCTGTCAGCACCAATGGAGGCCATGGGAAGAACTAAGGGAAAACTTGGGACTAGCGATGCTAGCAAGGGGTACTGGAGCCTGCATCCAGTACATCAAAAAAGTGCTGACATGTCTCAGAGGTCACAATACCCTGGATGTTTTCAAAATAAAACGAAAAAATTGCATGGAAAAAGATAATGGAAACACGCAAAGTCAGCTGGTTGAAAGACACCTTTTTGGTGCTTGGGACCAAGGAGAAGACAGGGAAGAAGCCCCTGCAGCTCTCTGGGGCCACACAGTCCCTGCACAGCCCAGGAGGAAGGAGAGGGCAGCACAGGAGRATGCGGAGCAGCTGGATCCCTCCCGAGCAGCCCCCGGGGCCCAGCCAGGCAGCAGCCGAACGCCGTGGGSGGCTGGGCCAGGGGTGCCCTGAGCCAGGGGAGCCCTCACAGGCAGACCCCTCAGTGCACCCAACTCCTCGCTGAGGAAGGGCATGTGGAGAGGGAAGGGGGTTCGATCAACAGCTCTGCTCAATACCTGACAAAAGCAGCCAGGGAAATCTTGGGGAGGAGACAACGGCTTTCCGTCTGCTTCCGAGGGCTTGCTGCAGCTGCTGGCCTCTACTTTTTGATGCAAACAATATCAGGAGGCCTATCAAGGAGCTTTGGGTCCTGACACTTAAAAGAAACAGGTGCTCTTTTGCACCCCTGGAAACCCAAGCAAAGGCCCGGGCCACGCTGGGCAAGGGGCACGCGAGGCAGGCGTGGGGCGAGCCCCTGATTTCGCTGCGTAAGGGCAGCGAGCGCAGGGAGCCCAAGGAGGAAGATGGGGTTTGTCTGAGGTCACGGAGCAGATGTGAGCGGAGCTAGGAATAGAAAGCGGGTCTCAGGTTTTGATCCAGCAGCTCTCTGCAGCCTCCTGCCTCCTCCCTGCCTATCCTCAGCTCACTCGCATGGCCTCAGCACTGATTCCACCAGAACCGATTCCCCCTCTGCCCCCTCAGCTTTGCCAACAACYATCTATGGAAACATGTTGACAATCAGATCATTTCCTTGTGGACTCCAAAAGCCAAGCTGAGSTTATTTCTTAACAACCGAGAGGGGTGACAGAGCAGCACGATGCCAGACCACTCCTGAACCCCTCCACCACCAAGCCACAGCTCGAGTGTCCTCCGCCTTTGGGAACATGCTCCCTGAAGCTCTCAGCAGAAGGACAGAGCCACGAGAACACCCTGCGTTCTCCTTCCAGACCATAACCGCCGCAGGGAAGCTGCCCTCCAAGTTCACAGCCATGGCTGGACTAGGGAACACCTCTTCAATGGAAGCAGATGAGTCACTGCCCAGGGAGCAGATGGACAGGGCAAGAGAAACTCTGCACAACTAAACAAGCACTGACCACACGCTGCAGGACCCCAGAGCACCATGTTCAGCCCAGGAGACACCTGTCCTGCCCAACCTGGGCAGATCAGAAACAGCATTGGTGAAGCTGTYGCTCTCATTTCTATCGGAGCTTGTAGCTTTTAAAGATGGGAAAGGAAGGAATCAATGTGGAAGGTTGGGGAAATACCTAGTACTGCAGAAAAAATATCTGCACCTCTAGCAAGCAAACTGCAGCGCCTGCTCCCGCCAGGCTGCCCGTGTGCAATGGAGACAAGGGCCTGTACCACCAAAGCAGCAGCTGGGACAGCCTCTCCAGGGCGGGCAGAGCCCAACAGGAACGCAGTCTCCCAGGGCTCTGGCCACGCCAGACCTCAGCATGTGCTCCATACCCGACGCTGCACACCCTTCCTTCCCCCAGGAGCCAAGCAGGGAACAGGCTTGCCCCCGAGCTGCTCTAAGTTCACAGCACGCATCTAGGCAAAACTGCTGACAAAGGTGGTTGTTGAAGCCGAGAGCCCGGACTTTGCACTGGAGAGGCTGAGGCAGGGGCACAYGCTCTGCACTGCCCGTCTTGCTGGGGGGCACAAGGGAAGAACTGGAATCCCTGGTTTCCCCAGAGCTCTCCACAGGAGCCCAAGGGCGCAGAGTGGGAAAGCCAGTCCGCACACCTAGCAGTTTAACAGGATCTACTTAACCACACTTCTGCAGAGACAACAGTCTCAATTACCTCTCCTTCTGTGGGGCATTGCTGGTGAGTGCTAGTCAAGGACCGCAGACCACACCAGGCATGGCAGGGTACCCGCTCTGGCAAAGCTTCTTGGATGTCTGGGGGTTCATGGAGAACAAGCTCAGCTTTGACAGTGTTGAGCCAAGGTCTGGTGAGGCTGGAGGTCTGTGCAACTGGGACACGAGAGGAAAACTGTGCCCCAGCCAGAACTAACCTGGCGAGGAGAAGGCACTTGCACTGACCTCCTAGAAACACAGGGAGCGTGAGGGTGTGACAGCTTCTGAGAAGAGCAAGAACAGTCCCACCTCCGCTTGACCCTCAGTGCCCTGGTCAGATAGGAGAAACATCTCCTTGCCTTCCCGCCCCCCAAAAGCGGCATGCACTAGAGGAAAAGCTTCATAAAGTTTTATAAAGATTTTTGTCACTG